CTTGTGTGTTGTTGTTGACGTCACATGTGTGTTGTTGTTGACGTCACGTGTGTGTTGTTGTTGACGTCACGTGTGTGTTGTTGTGTTGTTGATGTCATGTGTATTGTTGTTAATGTCACGTGTGTGTTGTTGTTGACGTCACATGTGTGTTGTTGTTGACGTCACGTGTGTGTTGTTGTTGATGTCATGTGTGTTGTGTGTGTTGTTGTTGACGTCACATGTTTGTTGTAGAAATGAACCGTGCAACTAACGATGTCGTGTCCTTTGTGAGTGACTTTGCTGTGGAGTGATTAATTTTTAATATCAGCAGCTCCCCCCATCCTTCCTTATATTCCGGCATTTTTTGGGTATTTTGGTGGTGATGGTGGTGGTGGTGGTGACGATGTTGTAATGATTGTGATACTGATGATGTTTTTGAAAGTGTTGTTTTATAGCTTAGTGAGAATTTTACTTATTAAAAACTCGTTTAGAATGTTGTAAGTTTAGTACATGTGAAATAACGATGCAAAATTGTTAATTTTAATAGGTATTTACCAATAGTACAATATAAAATATATCTGTAAAAAAATTATCACGTGTTTTAGTAAATTTTAATGATTTTTTTCATTAATTTCATTAAATATTCACAATCTTTAGAATAATTCACTTTCAGTTACACGCTGACGATGGTCTGTGAGGATTATGGAACGCCAAGGATGACCTCCAGCTCCAGCCTTCAAATCGAAATAACCGACGCGAACGACAACCGGCCGATATTCGGCTCGACCAGCTACCAATGTGAGGTGGCGGAGAACAACGGCGTGGGAATTCATCTGATTACTGTCGTGGCGTTCGATGCAGACGTCGCTCAAGATCATTCCAAAGTGTTTTATTACTTCATTGACGGGGGTGGTCAAATCTCATCGCTGTGGCTTTCATCCTCGTCTTCAGTCACTTCGACTTTTTTGTCGACCTCTTCGTCGTCGTCATTTTCATCGTCATTAACGTCCTCATCACCATCCTCATCTTCTTCTTCACCATCGTTTCCATCATTAAAATTATCCGCATCAACGTCGTCATCGAAAATTCTTTTCAAAATTGAAACCGAAACTGGAAAAGTCACTGCGGAAAGTTCGTTGGACCGCGAAAAGATGCCAACGTACCGACTGAAGATTGTGGCGATGGACCGAAAGGAACATCCCCTCTACACTACAACCACCACTCTCGAAGTTATCGTACTCGATCAGAACGACGAAAAACCAACATTCGATCGAAACCATTACACATTTTCCATCCTCGAATCAGTTAAACCCGGTTATATCGTCGGTTCGGTGACGGCGACCGATTCTGACGAATATCCACAAAATTTGTTTTACTACAAAATTCGTGAATTAGATAGACATAGCCATAATTATTCGGAGATGATAGATAAGTCCATCAGCACGCTCTCGAAAACTCTTCAGTTGGGCGATTCCAAGGATCGCAACTTTTACTCCAGCGACCACGGAATTTGTTCCGTCGATACGGTCTCAGGTGAGATAATCTTAAACTTCCCAGTGGACCGTGAAAAGAGAGGGTCGATTGAGTTCTTGGTGGAGGCGGTTGAGCAAACCTCAACGGATGATTATCCAGATGATTTGAATTCCAGGACAAAAATGAGAGCATTCCTGAATGAAAGTGAAGTTCCATCCGCCTTAGTGACAGTTCAGATTATTGACGTGAACGACTGCGCGCCAATTTTTATTTACCCACAAGTGCAGACGAACTTCACGGCATTCATCGACGACGGCATGGAGGGAACCGTTGCCTGGGTCAGTGCACTTGACCGAGATGTTGATGCGACTAATTCGGCTGTTTTTTATACCATCACAAATGCCTACAAAGTCATTGATGTCACGCCAAATGTGTCCTCACATTCATCTGCCTCATCCCACTCGCCAACATCTTCACATCCATTTGCTCCGCCATCGTTATTAACATCAACTTCCACTTCATTTCCGGTTTCATCAACATCATCATCCGCATCTTCTCCATCGTCGCCGGCATCACTTTCATCTTCGTTGTTCTCGTCTGACCAGCACTCGCCGATTCATACACCATCATCATCGTCGTTGTCGTCTTCACTTCGCCATCTGCAACAGTCGATTGTGGTGGCGGCTGTGGATTATTTCGACGTGTTCAGCATTGATGAGCAGAGTGGCGAGATCAAATGCCTTGCATGGAGGATGCGAACCAAACTCCTCCCGCACAAGGTTCCTTCTTGCTAAATTTAATTTTTAAACTTTTCCCTCCCGTGTACTACATTTATTATTCAGAAGTTTGGAAATTATTGATGACATATATTGATATATATATATATATAATTATATTATTTATATATATATTGATATATATATAAATATATTAATATGTATAAGGACTGGTTTAAAGCGATTAATTTTGAGCGCTATATGTACTGTTAGCCAAATAATACTAATTATAATAATAACAATAATAATAATAAAATAATAATGATAATTAGAACTCTTTTATTTCTTCATAAGCCAAAATATAAGTAAAAAAATTACAATTAAATATAAAATGATCAATTATTATAATAGTTAAAAGATTAAAATAATGGATAATTTAACATCAATGCTCGTCATTATGAATGTGTACAAGGATGATAAAACAATATAAAAACTAGAGTCAAGCTTTATATCTGTCACAATATATTGCGTAAGTAGATGCTATCGCAGAATTGATTAAGCTAGATCTAAAATCGTCACGCCAGTTTATTTTAGTTTGAGATAAATTGAAAGAATTATTAAGTCCTATTGGCGAAATTTCAAAAGTGTTGATTAAAATATTGCAATGCTTAAAATCGTTCGATAGGTTATTCTTGAGATTGCTCTTGTACTTATCCACTTTGTAGTTTCTTGATTTGGTGTAATTGATTTCATGACAGACTGTTAGTTCCAGTATTTCAATCGTTTTTTTGTACAAGATTGCTATGTCTGGTCTGAGCGAGGTAAACAGTTGCGACACAGGGCGGATCGATTCTTCTTAGATATCCGCAAAAAATGATTGCTCCAGGCGCGATGCATGATCTGATGTTGTTTAAGATGATGGCAAGTATTTTATTGTGGCGATTTAAGTACCTAGCGAGTGCAGATGGCGAACCACAGTTTGATACTACGTGCTTATTTGTTTCCTTGGCGCTACAGAGGGAGCATGCTGCGTTGTTCGTTTTTTTCCATTTGACTAGGTTAGCGTTGGTTGGTAGTTGTTGAATGAGATATTTCCTTGTGAATTTGTATAAAACATCTGGCAGGGATTTTGTTGCATTAGCCCAACGGGTGATCTCTGAGTCGTGAATGTTTTCCTTTATCAATGTTCCTTGGCATTGTAGCGACGATAGATGGTTGAAGTCATTTTGGTGTTGACGCTGTTTCAGTACGTTGCACGCCATTTGAATATCGTTGCTTTGGATTTGGTTGTCGACTTTTTTGTATTCGTTCTTTGATTCCTGCCACAGAACTCTCATTTCTTCCCTGGTGTTTGTTTTTAAGTGTCCCCGAAGTTTTAATATCATTAGCTCTGTGTGATGTTTTAGCGATTTTATGTTTAACCCTCCACTTTTGTAAGGCAACGACAATAATAATAATAATGATAATAATAATATAATGATAATAATAATAACAATAGCAGTAGCAATAATGATAAATAACATTAATAACAACAGCAACAACAATAATAATAGAAATTAAAGTATTTATAACAACAATAATGAATCGAGGGTTGATTATAAATACGGAGAGATTTCTCATCCAGAGGAGCACCGCCAAAATATGCGGAACAGCAATTAAATGGCTTCGTTATGACGTCATTATGATGTCATTAGCGAACATAAAATATTCCGCCAACAAATGCGTTCCTCATTTTTTGCTTTTATTTATGTACTGGTTGGCTGATTCGCCAACGTCCGTACGTTCCATAGTTGATAGTGCGAAATGTATGAATGATGGATCACTGATGGTTGAATGTCTTTGTAACCAGTGTTTCACCTGTTACGGTAATGTCTTTTGTCAAATTATAAATCTCTGCAAAGCACAAAAAATATGAAAATTGGATTAGAAACCTATAAAAACAAGAAAAAAATTCCTTTTTATAAAGGTCTCACGTGAAACTTTATAGATGCAACTTTTTAAAAAAATTTATAAGCTTCCTAAGTTGAATGACAAGAGATATAGTAACAATACAATTTTAAATCAGAAAATGTATTTTTAAATTTTTAGTTAACTCCTCAAAATAGCAAAATTAAAAAAAAAGCGATCCCCACGTTTTAATATTTCTTTTGATTACGCCATACTTCTCTTGATATTATTTCTTCATCACTTATCTACAAAATTGTTTTTCATTAAAAATATCATTGTTATCATAGTAATTATTATTAATTATTTTAATATCATTATCATTATATTATATTTTAATATTATTATCATTACCATTGAAAAAATATTAATATTATTATTATTTTTGTGAAGAAATTTATTATTATTATTATTAATATTATTGTTATTATTATTATTCAAACATAAAACCGGGCTTATGGAGTTGAAAAGAATGCGCCGAGCAAACATTTCATTGAAGTTTAAATCCTTCCTGGCTCAGACGAACTGAACATGGAACGTGCGACTATTGAATGAATTGAATGAATCCATTCTTTGCTCTTTTTCGTTTCTCAATTTAAAGAGTGTTAACATTTTTTGAAAGCATTTTCGTTGTTAATTTTTGTTTAGTTATCCTTATTCATCATCGTTCGTTTTAATTAGATTCGGTGGTCTGCTAGACAGCTCATTCGGTAGAAGTGGCATGTCTTGCCTCGTTATAGCGTGAATACCTGGTTCAAATACTGTCCGACCGTATGTAAAAGATTATAGCGTGTATGATGCGGTGCTTGCGCGTGCATACGTAGTGGGTAAAAACGTCGATTCGTGTGGATGTTGCAGCACTTGTGGCAAGAAAGTTCACACACACAACCACTCACGTACACACACACGTACACACACACACACACACGTACACATAAACACGCAAAGAAATTATGATTTGAATTTTATTATGTTGTGATTGTTACTCATCACCTTCATTACGTGGTTGTTGTTTTTCAAGATGTCTGGATTACCTGTCACTCATTCCAGTGAATATCAAAAATTTAATGAGTTTCTTGTACATAATATATGGTTGTCAGGTTTCGTCAGGTTTTTTCCTAATAATTTCGCGTTTGTTATCAACATATTTTTGTACATACTAACTTTCGTTTACTTGAAATGAGTTTTTCTTTTATTTTTTTTTCTTGACTTATTTCAAGAATCCATAAATATCTAAAAAGATAGAAGTCTCTTTTGCTGATTTACAGGGCGTTGGAGCAGCATGTCACCGCAGTGGCGAAAGTTTTACTTCCGCATGGCTTTATTTAACATTGGAGCACACAGTAGGGTATGTTAGCGTGATGTTAATAGCAAGGTCACTGCGAAAAAATATTAGGAACTGAAGTTTTTTACAGATTTCTATTTATCACTGTCTAAGTTTAGCACTATAAATTTATGTCTCAGACAAAAGAGACCAAAATAACTTTGCTCGAAATGGTTTTTTCACGTTAACATTTTTTCTACCCTGTACAAAACAAACTGAAACTAGAGCGAATAACTAATTACTGCCATTAAGGAGTCAACTTTTCTACAGCCACTATCAGATATTCAACTTATACAATTTGCTAACCAAATCATTACAAACATAAAAAAAATACTACAAAAAAGGTTTCCGGTTCAAGCGGTTTTGTAAAAGTTTTTGAAGAATTAGTTATTGTGATTTATAGAAAACATATTCTTATTGCCGTGATAACAACCAGACTTGAAATATTTATATAATATTCAAAAATGTTTAGTTTCTGGATATGCCCTTCTAGTCATATGAGCTGGCCAATGTTGTTATTTACATTCAAGGCAGCGAACAACTGAACAAATTAATTACACGCTCGCATCTCAATCACGTCTTATTAGACTCATGCACAATGACGTGCTCATTCGTGTGGACATTTTACAAAATATATTTCAAATTCAATAAAAAACTTGAGAAAAATCTAGAATTTTTCATACAATGTTACCCAAATACGTTATTGTTAAAAGCAAATGTTTATTTTGACAATAGTTTTGCAAACCGTTACGTTGTAACGTCAGATTTGGATTGTTTTTAATTAGTAAACCTAATCGATACTTGACTAAACGAACGTGCAGGAATTAATTTCTTTGAAGGAGAAAATATTTTTCTCAGTTTTTTCCTCTCACTTTTTTGTAGTTTTCTCAGTTCTCTTTAATGTTTTCTTACTCTCTATTTCTCTATTTCTTTCTTTCTTTCTCTTCTTTTTTATCTATCTATCTCTATTTTATTCGTTCTTCTTTTTTCCATGTCTCATTTTTTTCTCATCGTTTTTTTCTCAAGACATATTGATCTTTTCCAGTTTTTCTTAAAATATATATTTTTGTAATTTTATTTGTAATTTAGATTTTTATTCAAAATAATTTTTCATTGTATGTAAACATTCACTGCTCTTTCATTTGCTACTCACAAGTTAGTTTCTTCAATTAAAATCCATCATTCCTATTAGTTTTGCAGCGTTATAAAGAGTCATTAAGCTCGGTTTTGAAATAATTTCTGTTCGATAATAAGGAAACTACAAAATATTGTTATAATACTCGCTGTCGTAACCGGTTTACGATGCGACGGGTTCAAATCTTCGATTGAATAAAATACACCAAACAGTTATTAAACTTTATTTACAGAAGAAATCAACTATTATTAGTTATTAAACTTTATTTACAGAAGAAATCAACTAATCGTTTATTTCCAGTAAATTCGCACTAACGCAACAATTAACTTTTAAATCTTTCAAAATCTATCGCTATGACAACGTCAACAAACAAATCAAATATCGCTTTAAATAATTCACCGAATCGCTATTCACAAAATCACGAATTTCACTAATCACAAATATCACTAATCACGAATATCACCAATCACGAATATCACCAATCACGAATATCACCAATCACAAATATCTTGCGACGTGCGCTTATATACTCTTCGCAAGCGTCGTTTCTAGATTCTTCCCGATGGTCCGATTCCAGCATACTCTAGAACGTTCCAGTCACTAGAACATTCTAGAATACGCTAAAATCTAGTGCGTTCGGTAGCACGGTTATAACATTACCCCCTTCTTAGTTCTGTTCGTCCCGAACAGCTTTCGTTCCGGTGTCCGCATGGTACGGAGCCAGTCTATCCAAATGAACGATCTTCATTCTTGCTCTCGACTTCCGATATTCCTGAATACGGTAGACGACGTCATTCAAGCGGGTGATGACTTGATAAGGTCCTTCCCACCCTCGCTGGAGCTTTGGAGAACGTCCTTTCTTCCGCTGTGGGTTGTACAGCCAAACTAACTCGTCGACAGCAAAACCGCCACTGCTTCCTTTCAAGTCGTATCTGGTTTTGGCCGCCTCCGTGTTTTTCATAATTTTAAGGCGTACGTAACGGTGGATATGGTTTAATCGCTGTCGAAGATTATCCACGTATTCTGTTAATGGTTGGTGTGGTTCGGGTGGTACGCCATATTTCACATCAGCTGGAGTTCTTAAGGTAGTCCCAAACAGAACTCTTGATGGCGTTTCTCCAGTAGTTGTGTGGATAGCACTCCGGTATGCCATAAAAAACAATGGTATATGACGATCCCAATCCCGTTGATTTTCGTCGACTACTTTAGCCAGATGTTCAATCAGGGTTTGGTTGAATCGTTCCACCATACCGTCAGACTGTGGGTGAAGAGGTGTCGTTCGAGTTTTGTTTATACCTAGCAGCTTGCACATTTCACCAAACAGTTGTGACTCAAAATTTCGACCTTGATCTGAGTGGAGTTCCAATGGGACACCATATCGACTAATCCAATTGAGTACAATTTCCTCAGCGACGGTACATGCTTCTTGGTTGGGTATTGGAAACACCTCAGGCCATTTGCTGAAATAGTCCGCTACAACCAGAATGTAACGGTTTCCATAATCTGATACCGGAAAGGGTCCAGCAATATCTATAGCAATCCGTTCAAAGGGGACACCAACATTGTAGATTTGCATTGCTCCTTTTAGCCTTCTTTTGGGTCCTTTGACTGAAGCGCATGTGTTACATTTTCGACACCAGCTCTCTACATCTTCTCTAACGTGAAGCCAGTAAAATCTTTCTCGTATTTTGTCAAGGGTCTTGTTCACTCCTAAATGTCCCCCAGAAGGGCCGCCATGCATTTCATCAAGGATTTCGGTCGTTCTATTTCTTGGTATTACAACTTGCATGCGGTGTTTTGATCCATCAGCTGATTCCCATTTTCGTTTCAGCAAATCCCCTTCCAAATACAAAGAGTCCCACTGAGCCCAATAACCCTTTAACACGGCACTATATTCTGAGATGCTTTGCCAGTCCGGTCGCTTGCCCTCCTTCTTCATGTGATTAGATGTTGTAGGTCCTCATCCGCAAACTGTGCATCAGCAAGATCCGTCGGTGTCCAACCGTCATCCGCTGCTATTGTTGTTGCTCTTATGTCTTCCGATTGTATCTTCTCCTCGTGACGACAGCAGTATTTGCATCCTGGTAAACATGGTCGACGTGAGAGAGCATCAGCATTACTATGAGTTGTTCCTTTGCGGTGCACGATCTCGAAGTCGTACATTTGTAAACGCTCCAACCATCGGGCCATCTGTCCTTCAAGATCTTAACGCTGCATGATCAGTTCGGAGAAGAAATTTCTGTCCATAAAGGTACTTGTGGAAGTGTTTTGTTGCATTGACTATTGCTAGTAACTCCTTCCTGGTCACACAATAGTTTCGTTCGGGTTTTGTGAATCCTCTGCTATAATACGCTAGCACCTTTTCTTCTCCGTCTATATGCTGTGACAAAACGGCTCCGATTCCGTTGTTACTTGCATCAGTATCTAACACGAACGTCTTGCCACGAACTGGATATGCTAGCAAAGGAGCATCACATAGTTCAACTTTTAACTTTTCAAATGCTGAGTCGCATAGGGTATTCCAGTTGAAAACTCGGTCCTTCTCGGTAAGTTGGTGGAGATGTCTGGCAACTTTTGCAAAATCCTTTACAAAACGTCGATAATACGTTGCCAATCCCAGAAAACTGCGCAATTCATTTTTATCCTTTGGAGTTGGCCAGTCTTTCACAATTTCTATCTTGCTGGGATCGGTTCGAACTCCATCTGAAGATACCACATGTCCCAAATAGTTAACTTCTTTAGAAAATAACCTGCACTTTTTAACGTTCAGCTTTAAACTTGCCACCCGAAGTCTTGTGAAGATCTCCGTAAGTTTTCGACGTGTTGATCAAATGTTCTTTCTAGAACAATTATGTCATCTAAATAGACAAGACAGGTTTTCCAGTTAAGACCTTGCAATACACATTCCATCAGTCGCTCGAATGTAGCTGGAGCATTGCACAATCCAAATGGCATGACGGTGAATTGCCACAACCCCGATCCGATAGAAAACGCTGTCTTTTCGCGTGTTCTTCACCATAACGTAAATCCAACGCGCTAACCAGAACTTCATAGTTGAAGTGGTTCTCCGCCGGAATCGTCTGAAGAACCTCTGCTGCTGAACCTCGCAGGGCCAGTATCAGTGCTGTTGCTCGTTCTTTTCCGTTCCAACAGTTACTAGTTGCCGCTGCTTCGAACTGGGTTTTATAAACGTTCCAGGACATCTCTCCGTCAAATGCTGGTACCTTCAAAGTTCTTCCAGATGCGTGATCTAACGGCATGGCCATTTTTTTGGATTGCTCCAATTCTCGCTTCAATTTGTCTATCTTGTGATCTACCTCAACGGTCTGACGATCAAGTTTCTGTTCGATCATTTCTATTCTTGTTGACTGTTCTTCAATCTGTTCTGCCACTTCCAATTTTACGTGTTTTAGCTGGTCCTTGATCTGTTTTAACTCCTCTGTCTGTCGTTCGGACTGTTCCTTGATCTGTTGTTTTAACTCTTCTGTCTGTCGTTCGGACTGTAGTTCGGACTGTTCTTTGATCTGTTTTAACTCCTCTGTCTGTCGTTCGGACTGTCGTTCAGACTGTTCTTTGATCTGTTTTAAATCCTCTGTCTGTCGTTCGGACTGTCGTTCGGACTGTTCTTTGATCTGTTTTATTTCAGTTGACATACTAAGCAGAAGTTCCATCATTTTGGCGGTTGTAAACGTGCCTGTGCTAATTTCATTGTCTTCGTCAGCACCATCAAACTTGAATTCGTCTGGGTTCTTACCTTCGTCAATGAGAGCTTCTCTCAGACGTGCAACTAGTACTTCTTTGTTGCCACTTGTGACAAGGCTTCGTTTCTGTAGTTCTTCTCGTAGTTGAACTACAGTTTTGACATCGTGTTCTTTTTCTACGAGTAGCAATTCGCTGGTCGAAGATCCCACTTCTGACACCAATGTTATAATACTCGCTGTCGTAACCGGTTTACGATGCGACGGGTTCAAATCTTCGATTGAATAAAATACTCCAAACAGTTATTAAACTTTATTTACAGAAGAAATCAACTATTATTAGTTATTAAACTTTATTTACAGAAGAAATCAACTAATCGTTTATTTCCAGTAAATTCGCACTAACGCAACAATTAACTTTTAAATCTTTCAAAATCTATCGCTATGACAACGTCAACAAACAAATCAAATATCGCTTTAAATAATTCACCGAATCGCTATTCACAAAATCACGAATTTCACTAATCACAAATATCACTAATCACGAATATCACCAATCACGAATATCACCAACCACGAATATCACCAATCACAAATATCTTGCGACGTGCGCTTATATACTCTTCGCAAGCGTCGTTTCTAGATTCTTCCCGATGGTCCGATTCCAGCATACTCTAGAACGTTCCAGTCACTAGAACATTCTAGAATACGCTAAAATCTAGTGCGTTCGGTAGCACGGTTATAACAATATTAATTTTATAATACACCCACTCAATACAATACAATGCAATGCAATGCAATACAATCCAATACAACACAATACAATACAAAACAGTACAATACAATACAATACAATACAATACAATACAATACAATACAATACAATACAATACAATATACACTACAGTACAATACAATACTATTCAATGCAATACAATTTAGAAACTTCGCATTCTTATAACAAAAAAATTACTTTCTTATATACTCACTCAGTTTTTGTAAAAAATACCAGTTTGAACTTGAAAAACTATCAACATAAACCAACTAGCTCAGTGGAAGCACGTTACTACAACCATACAACCTCGAAAGCAACTCGCAAACACGTACTGAGAAATGACTCTTGACTCGCTAATGAATCCAAATGGGATTTTTTTGCCCGGCCAACTTTGCGTGTCATCATTTTTAATCTGTCAAACTTTTAAAGTAATTTCAATTAGGAAAAAATTGAAAATTTCAACTAAAAATGATTTTTTAAAACTTTTTCTTCATAACTGTAGGACAGGAAATGTCATGTTTTTGGCTATTTTCTTACGTTTAGAGGCATAGGCTTAAAAATATAGAAAAAGACTATTCTTCATCTGAAACATTTAAAAAATAATTCAAAGAATAACAAAATGAAAAAAATTAGTAATTAAAATAGTCGTTGAACCGAAAATATGAGTTCGGTTCGTCACAATGCGATAATATTGATTTCTAAATGATCGATTGTTTGGTTCTGTTTTGCCGAAATTAAATTTATTTGAAATGAACATAACAAAAATACACATAACTTACGTTCATATTTATTAGACATAAACGCATGTATGTGTGCGTGTGCCCTTAATTTTTATCTTTATTAATAATTTTTTTCAAACTTTAAATATTTATCGTTTTGTTTGACATTTGTAGCAAATGATAAAATAATTTTTTAAAAACTTTTAAAAAAATTTGAGAGGAAAAGCTTTTTTTCTTCCAAAAATTAAAAAAAAATTATTTTACATTTTTTTCTTTCGTGCAATTATGTTAAAGCACGCCAATAACAAAAAAGACAGCTTAACAAACAACATTAAAAATTTCACAACGACGACGACAACAACAACAACAGCAATGCCAGTAACAAAATACAACAGCAGCAACAACAACTACAGCAATGCCAACAACAAAATACAACATCAACAACAAAAACAGCAACAACAATAACAACAGCAATAACAATTACACTGGCTTTAACAAAATAGAAATATAGCAGCAATAACATTAACAAATTACAACAAAAACAACAATAACAACAATAACAAACGGAAGTAATGTAGGGATACCAGCAACGATGATGATATGGTTTTTTTTTGTTGTTGCGATAAAAAAGACATTATGATTGGAATGGTGATAAGTACAGTGATGGTACGAACAGATAATGGATGTAGTAAAATAATCTTGCTTCACTTTCTACATCATGCTTATACTATATGTATATTATTTTTTATATTATTAAATATTCCAACATTTAAAAAAAAGTAATTTAAAAAAAATATGAAACGCTTCACAAATTTGCGTGTCATTATTAGTATTTATCACATTTCTCTTCTCAATACATATTCGAGGCAACAACAACAAGCACACGATGCATGTAAATAGACCTGCAATCGAATCCGGCCATCGCATTACCACTGCCAGGCATTTTACCGTTAAACCAACGCGGCGACAGTTATATTATTGTATTAAAATAAAATTTATTTAGATTATTAATATTTATCAGCATAGAATATATTGTTTATATATTTACGTAACAGTGTGTTTGTTTTAATGTAGAGATATATCTGTAAATATATAGACTGATGTTGATATGGGTGAACATAATTACTTATGCAACTTCCAATGTTTTTTTTCCAATGTCAGTCATAGAAATTAGGTCTTAAGAGGGAGGGGCTATTACATTATTACAACATTACTACATTATTATTATTAAGACATTTATATAATTAATATTTAAATATTTATGGAATTTAAAAAAATTAAAAAAAAGTTAAATGGCCTGATAGAAAAAGCAGCGATTATCGAGCGCATATTGTTGTAAGCATTCCATCCATCTTAATCCTTCCTCGTTTCAGTCTTGTAATTCAATCTCCACTTTTTACGCATCCATTGTACGTTTTCCCGGTCATACCTGTGATAGATATTATTTGTTTTTTTTTATTATTTTTTTGAATGATTTATTTACATCTTTTATAATTTTTTCCCATATTATGATTTTTTTTCGTTCTTTTATGGTTAACATTAACAATGGAATATTCGTACAAATAATATTTCGCTGTGAAAAAAAGTTCTTGCAATTAGGTAGAAATATTTAATGTAGAATAAAAACGAATGCACTCTTTATAACAAATGTTATATTTTGAGTGTAGTAGATTATTTTTCTTCAAAATACTCTATTCAGTTTTTATATTGCTTAACATCAAAAATTATGAAAGTTTCTCATTTGGAGTGTATCACGGTCGTTAACACAAATGAATGGGGCGTTAAGTCGTGAATTTTTAGTTTTTTATTTGTCTTTGTTTTATTTGTCTTTATTTTATTTGTTTTTATTTTATATTTTTTTATTTGTCTGTATTTTACTTGTCGTGAATTTTTAGTTTTTTATTTGTGAGTACATTCCAAGTTAGCGAGCTTATATTTCAATTCTTTAATAGAAAAGTAATCATTCTTATTTTTTTTTAAACAATCTTTCTCTTATTAACTTACTTTTGATTGTTCATTGTACACAATCATTAACAATTATTCCTATTGATAAAATAACCAGTAGAAGGTCTTCAAAATTTTTTGAACGAACAAAAGGGTGGCATGGATATTTTTTCAGTGGGTTTATCGAGCGCGGTACAAAAAAGGCAAAAATTTGAATATTTTTGAAAAAAATTCGTACATTAAAATATTCCAAACAGTTATTTGCGCTAAAAAAATTCATTTAAACATTTTTTGTTCCAGAAAATATTTTGACAGGAATTTCCAAATGTGAAACAAAATGGAAAAAACAAATATTATTTTAACCTTTTTGTTTTATTCCAAAAAACGTTCTCAGAATTTTTTTTTATCATCAGGCAACATCTGTTAAACACGCGTTAATTTTTGATTGAAAACATTTAGATTTGGCACTATTCAGTTAATAAATACATTTATTATGAAATATGTTTTTTGAAATAGAGTTAAAACTAACCCGTCAATATAATTGAATGAATTTTTTATATGTTTCTATGGATGACATTCTAAGATTCCTCACAAAATTTCAGTGACATACGTCATCAAAAAGTCGAGATGTAGGTATGTTCCCATTTGGGAACGTTGGCGGCTACAAATACAAATTTTATAAAAACACTTTTTGTTCGTAATTTTTATTATAACATTAGTATCATACAATAAACTTCAATGATAAAATGAAAATCAATTGTATTATGACAAAATGAAAAGTTTATGCATAATTCTATAAATCTTTTCAATTTTATAAGTTGTGAAATTTTGGAAAACATTTCTCATGCAAATGTTTGCCGCACATTTCACACCATTTACGGGAATTTTTTTGGCATAAACTACATCTTCCTTGTGTAGTTGATGACAAATAATGTCCAACAGTTGATTCCTTGACGTCCTTGTTGATAGGACTTGTTGGACCACCTTTCCTGCTTCGGAAATCGTTCAGACCAACTTTCATGACTACTGCAGCAACATCACGTCAAAATTCTAAATGGCTTTTTGCTTGCCCTGATCCTACAGCGTGGCAGTGAAGCCTCCATGCAGCTACTACAACCATATTCAAACCGTTTGCAAAAAGGTTCCACCACCATTTTTTTGATCGAAGAATGGGTCGATAAGAACTAAGCAAACGATCCAATAGGTCAACTCCACCCATATTTTGGTTATACATTGCAACAACTTTTGGTTGTTTCACTGCGACTTTTTGCTTCTGTTTTGCAGAATATCGCATGACGGTTTGGGTGGGTAGGGCACCAATCCAGTTAGAAATAAGGGTGACAACACTGTTGTCATTCCATCGTACGCAAATTATTTTACCATCACCATTGTAGTCGAAATCTCCGCGACTTTGTTTTCCTAATTCCTTGCATGAGACTAATGGACATTTATTTGTGCGATTTTTTCGTATAGTACCAATTGCTTTGAATCCTTTTTGCCGCAATTCATCCAACAAAGCATACGATGAAAAAAAGTTGTCAAAGTAAATGCTATGTTCTTCTGGAGTTTCTATGACAGATAATAGTTCATTCACTACACGAGTTCCAAGCGGAATTTTTTCTCCAACTTTTTCTAATTGCGTGTGAGAATCCTTGGCACCAGTATAAATTTGCATAGCAAATGGGTAGCCATTAGGACTGCACATCATCCATACTTTATAGCCAAAACGAATGGGCTTACCACGGATAAACATTTCGCAGCTGTGGTGTCCATAATACGGTACCATAGATTCGTCAATACTAAGACTTTCAGTGAAAACTCCGAATTGTAAAAACTTCGTTGACAAATGTCTGTAAAACGGGGCAACTTTTGCAGCTTTACCGTTTTCCAGATTCAAATTATCCACTAAATGAAAGTATGTTTTCAATTCTCTAAAACGTTTCCGAGACATGACTTTTGAAATTATGTTGTTGGACAAATCATCAGCAGTAGACCAATAGTGATCTTCTTCAGGAACTTTATGGTATCCACTGAAAATAAGTATTCCGAAAAAACGTACCAATTCATCAGCTGTAGTATCAACACTGCTTAGTTTTTGCCTGGCGTAAAGATTTGTCATTTGTGCAAGATAATCTAAGTAATCTTCTCCAATAAGTTGTATAAAAATTTCAAAAGGAGACTTATAAATAATATTCGCATCCACCTGAGACAATGATTTAGGTTTCGATTTTGGTAATGGTTTTTCAAAATTATTCTTTTTCATCCATTTAGGTTGGGGACCATCTTTTTTTGACCGTTTTGCTGGTATCTGATGTGTATATTTCATAAAGGTTATGCTAACAAATAAAAAAAGTTATAAAATTGAGACCTACCTTTCTTGTTAAAATTTCCTCGTCTGAGTCATCTGAAATATTATTTGCCGAAGACGCATTTTTCACAATAACATCCAATTCGCCGCATACTTCGCCGGGATCAATGCTATCCAATTGATTTTCATTGATATCCTCAATATCGGAATCCTCCAGCCGATCATTAGGTGGTAAAATTAAGATTTCACCGTCATCAGATGCATTTTCAATCAGATTCACAGCTTCAGCTAATGTTAAACAACGCCGAGCAGACATATTTGCGATAATAAAGAACGTAGACTTGATATACAAAGAATCAATCAATCAATCAATAAAAAAAATTGGTTTATATAACGCTTTTTATGACACGTACATTTGCGCTCGGCTGAAAATATGATGAACAAATGAATAAACAAATAAATAAATGTTATTATGTGAACAAATATAAAAATATTTGCAAAAATTTTTTTTTATATTATTGTATTCTGATCCGCCAACGTTCCCAATTGGGAACATTTAGATAAAAATTGACACAAAAATTGAACCTTATACTTTTTTTACATGCAATGTGTCCCAAAATCATTGCCAGCATATTGGTAAATAGGAAAACAACAATAAATAGTATAATGATTGAATAATGTTGAAAAAAATTATAAACTTGAAAATGTACCCATCGAGCAAATTTTTGATAAACTTTGAACCTTCATCAAATTTTTATTAAACGTCAAAACCTTGTAATATTTATTTGTTACATTTATCGACTTTAATTCAGTATATCCACACAATTTCATCAAGCTATCTAAAATATTTGAAAAAATAACTAACCATTGAACTTATGTTCCCGTTTGGGAACGTTGGCGGGTAAAAGGTTAAAACAGTTTTGTTATTTTAGTGAACACTTATGATTTTTGATATCTTATTAATTTTTAGACCGTTTTTTCAAAATTTTTCTTGGTACTCATTTTAAATTTGTCATTGTTACTTGATTCCAAATATATTTATTTTTATTTGCACTTATTAAAAACATTTTTCTCGATTCATATTATCAGTTGAAAACTTTTCCTTGAAACACATTTGCAAAGTCCACATTCAGGTGTAACGAGAGAATATTAAATAGAAATGCCTTATAGGGAGACGCTGAATGAGAGAATGGAATGAAAAAGTTGTTGATGTGTTATCGCGCTGAGGCCACGTGATTGCATTTCGTCTTCGATACGGGATTTCTATTTTCGTTCATACGTGTTTAAACCTGTTCATTCATGTTCTTATTTGTTCATTAATGTTCACGCACTTATTTATTCATGTTTGTACGTGTTGTTTAGTCACACGTTTTTACAGATTTTTACGTTGTGTGTTTTCCAATCGCTTGCCTATTTACATGCACTTGCATGCCTGAATCTGTTGGATCTACTTGAACGTCGCATTTGAATATGTTAATTATTTCGGCTTCTGTTTATCCATTTACTAACCTAAAATGAAACTGCGTCTTCTGGTTTAGTTTTGTTTTATAGATTTCTTTTGTTAGAATTTAAAACTGGTATTACTAATTTGTGCGCAAACATCTTATTGTCAATTAAAGACATAAAATTATAGACACCCATTCATGCCAACATGTCTTTTTTACATATTGGTCTTTTTGCTTTATCTGACCTGTTTTTTTTAACTTCGTATAATTTCAAAATTCTACAGCTTTGTACTTCCCTAGATAACAAACAAGGGTATATGCAATGGCAGGTTCATGTCTGAGCAAGCAAACGTGGTTGTTGGCGATGCAGCTTCACCCACAAAACAACCAGCATCGTACATGCTTCAAGAAATTTAAGTGTGAATTTCATTTCTGATGTTTATTTGCGTCTGGAAATTTTTATAGAATATATTTTCTACCTTCATCTATATGTTTTGTTGCAATTTTTGTTTCGTTCTCACATATGTTCATAAGTTCTTTTATTTGTTTTGAATTAATGAATTAGGACTGTTTTTATTTTTTTATTAATTTGTTTTGTGTGTTCATTTACATAAAAAAAACTAAAAAAATAAATTTTTCTTACTCTATAAAACAATCCTCAAGAAAGTTTTGCTGCAAGCACTGAACTACGTCTAATTGATTTTTCCTCATTAACAGATCCGCGAAAAATTTGTGAGAGAATATAATCCACGAATGGATTAAAGAATTCTCATAAATTCTCATTTGAATCTGTTGTAACAATTAACTTCACATATTTTTCGTTTAAGAGTTTCGCATGATTCAATTTTTAATAAAATAATTACTTAAAGTTCTAAGATTAAATTTTAATAAAATTTGACAAAAATAAAACTTCTTCCAAACGTGTTTTGGCGTTTCACGTAAATGTAAAATGTAAGATGAGTGATTAATTGAGTTGTTGACTGATAGAACGAACCTTGAATGTTTGATCGATAAAAATCAGTTATCGTTGGAATAATTGATTGGTGATTGATTAGTGACTGTTTGATTGCTTGATTGAAAACACAAAATTTAATTGAATGGTTAGATGATTAAATGGATTAATAATTAATAAAAATTGAAAAGAGATAGATGAATATTTAAATGTTGGTAGTTTCAAATGTGGTACTGGTGAACAGCCAAACAACACTCAAACATAAACTACTTTTATTTAAAAACACTTACACAACCTCTTAAAATTATTTCCTTTTTGATTTAAAATTTCAGTTTTCAAATAAAAATATCAAGCTATCCTTAAATCTAGTTTAAATCCTCAATCTTGAAAAATAGTAAGTGAAGTACATTTTATATAAATATATTTAATAATAATACTTCAAATGTAAAAAAGATAAAACTTTTGTAATTAGAATTTTTATAATGTGTTATAACAATCCGCAAAGTTTTTGATGCATTTTTTTGTTTAATATGGAAAAATCTCTATTTAGCAATTGATTGTTAGATTGTCCATAAAAAATTAGATCAAGGGGGGCAAGCTACGGCCCGCGAAGCTATTTTATGCGGCCCATGAAGCCTTCTTCGCCAAAGAATGGTCATCAGCCAGACATTATGACCAAAAAAAAACCTCAAATCTTAAAAAAATTTTCCCGGGTCGAAAAAACTTGCTATTTAAGTACATATGCGGCCCTTCAAATGTAAATTAGTTTTCAATGCGGCCCTCAGAGCAAAAAGTTTGCCCACCCCTGAATTATAATTCTTAAAAATTTCTCCACAAGAATCGATGTCTTTAACTCTATGCTAATTGTGTAACTAAATTATTTATTTTTTAAATTTTGATATTTTTGTTGTTATTCATTGCTATTTACGTTGAATTAGACACTAGGGAAGAAACGCGATGGTATGTCATGGATGGAAATTATTCTCTTTGTTTTTGTTGTACGCTTTTTTTATTATTATATTATTATTATTATTATTATAAATATTACTATTATTCCTTTTATTGGAGAGATTTCTTAACTACTAATATATGTCAAAAGCATGGAAGTTTATATGAATTTTTCCGGTAACATTTTCTAGTAATAATACGTTATGTATTTCATATTTTAAAATGCATTTTTAAATGCGTGTCTGTGAAATTTCTGGCATTTATTCCTTTTAACGTTGAATAAATAGCTAGCATATTAATTATAGAAATTTGATTTTTAAAAGAATAGTTAGGAAAAAATTCAAAATATTAATAAAAATAATTCTATCAACAATTATTAACATTGTTATGTGAATGAATTTATTAAATCACCTGAAAAAACACGGAGTTTTTTAATTTTTAAAAATTTTATAAAAAGATATAGCACAAACTACGATGCAATGTGGCCACATGTTTGTCGAGTTCGGCCTGCAAACATGTGACGTCACTCCCATGTTCGGTGACGTCACGCGATGATTCCACGTCATTATTTTGACATGTCGGCGTCAACATGCCCCCACAGATGTGTGGTGTGGTAGTGAACATTTGAATTTAATTTTGTGACACCGGTGTTTTTCAGCTTGTTTCTATGAAATTTGTTGTTCACGAAAAAATTTAGAAAAATAAAAAACAATTACATTTCTGAACAAAAAATTTTAATAACATTTTACAATGATGATGTTTAGAAAATATTTTAAGAAAAAAACTTTCAACTTTGTCCAACGCAGACCAGCTTCCCACAAACCTTCATTCTGACCGTAGCAGCCAGCGACACGGGCCACCCGCCACTGACCACGTCTACTAACGTCACCATCACCCTCAACGACGATCCAACAACTCCACCCATTCTCAGACCACCAATAAATCTGCACCATCACTCTCCTAACAACCGTTTCCATGGCAAAACAGCTCATTACGGGTCAGCGAAAAATAATAGCAACTACTTTGCCAAAAATAAATACAACATCGATGATAGTGATGGCGTCGGCCGGGATGATGACGATGATGATGGAAACGATGACGTCAGATTGTTCAATGGGTTCAGCAGCGTCGGCGATTATGACGACATGCTGAGCAATGAGCAGAAGCACTCGTCATCAACCAACCGCGGCAAAACGAAGCCGATGGTCGCTATCGTCACCGCTTGCGTCTCCAGTCTGGTCATCATCTTCCTCCTCATCATCCTCGTCTGTGCTTGCAGGCACAGACAGCGGAAACACAAACAAAGATCGCAAAGCAAACAAAGACAGCAGGAGGACATGGATTTAAATTTGAGTTCCTCGTGCAACACCGCTGCGTCCCTACATAGAAGTAAAATCGATTCTTGTTACGCCGACTCCAATGTGACAAAGTACGTCTCTTCTTTGGTCAAGTCAAACAATTTCAGTCCCGTCAAAAATAAATATTCTCCCATGAATCAGTCAGCATTGAAATTAGGTCACAATGTCCCCCAGTCAGCTGTGAAAGTAGGTCACGAGGCACCACGATCAGGCTGTCGGAAATTAATTCAGCCAAGTTGTAACGACTCTGGAATAATTTATTCGTCAGATGGGCGTGAGATGCTAAGAGATGATGTGGCGCTTGATTCGATGTTGAAGGGTGGCTGGAGTGGAAGCGTTTACCTCAAAAATTTTAACGTCGCCAACAGCAACATCAACTCTGACAACATCTTCCACAACAACAACAACTTTTATAATAATAAAATTAAAAATTTCAACAGCACAATCCAAAACGTTTACAACAATTTTGATTCCATCTACAACAACAACAACGACACAACCACAAGCAGCCACAACAGCAACAACAACAGCAACATCTTTCAATCAAAAAGCATGTACTGTCTGGCTAATAAATCAATTCCAGCATCTGACACTCAAATGCAATATAAACTTCCACAGCAGCCAAAAACATCTCCACAGCAGAATTTATACTTTTCAACGCTGCCACTCCAACACAAAACAAAAAGCAACAACTCCATAAATTTGGAAACATTTCATAACAAAAATGATGACAATAGCATTGCTAACATCAATAACAACAACATTAATGATGCACGAAATAGTAATAGCCTAGTTTTTACCAACTTCATAGACAACAACAAATTAATCGGTTTACATGATAGCAACTGCTTACAACACAACCACCACCACCAACAACATGGCTATCATGACTCGTCGCATCACCATCTACAACGTCAACAACATTACAATGATCACACACACCAACATCATCAACATCCTCAACAACAACAGCTGCAGCAGCAACAGCAGCAGCTGCAACAACAACAGCAATTATCATCTTTGACGCATCACTCCCTGGACACGACCACGGTGGATCACTACCCTGCCACCATCAAACCAGGAGTCTGCTGCATTCGTGTCAACAGTAAGAAGGTTGGTGCTGCTGATGATGATTAGGGTGGTGATGATGATAATGATAGCGATGATGACAATGACGATGATGATTATGGCAATGATTGTGATAATGGTGGTTGTGACGATGACAATGATGATGAAGACGGTGGCGACGATGATGATAATACTGCTGCTGATTATGATGATGATGATAATAATGATGATGATGATGATGATATAGGGATGGTAATGAGATTGTAATTAAAACATCAAACCGGAACTGAACAGAATCCAAAATCAAACAAATAAAAGTTTATGTTAAAGATTACATTGTAAACTGTGATGATGATGATGTCGATGTTCATAATGATAACGATGAAGATTTTGTTACTGCTTATAATGTTAACTCCGATGATGATGATGATGAAAAAGAAGAAGATGAAGATGATGATAATGATGATGATGGTGATGATGATAATGATGTTAACGATTACAACGTTAACTCTAGTGATGAAGATGATGTTATCGATCGTAGTGATATAGACAATGATTAAATTAATATGTTAATACAGGTTGTAATCATCATTACACTTCAAATACTGCTTTTTATAATATATAGGAGAAATCAGCAAATAAAACATAGGCCTGATGAAAATGATGACAAAGAATCCAGATACACTAAAGAAAATGAAAATATTCTGAATGAATGGTCTTACTAACTCCAAGTACAATTTTGATAATGATGATGACCACAATAGCAGTGATAACAAAATGATGAAGATATCAAAATCGGCAGTTGAATGGCTGCTATGATGATGTCTTTTTTGGAAATAATGACTTCAAGAGATCAAACTTATGGAACAGGCGTTTATGAAAATGAAATTAAATGTGAAGACTATTTTATTAGCTGACTTAATGAAGAAATAAATTGTAAAACAAAAAAAATCTTGAAAACTGAATGTAATTTGAAGAGATTCCACACTCATGGTTTCGATATATGATCGTTTTTTGCCAAATATTGTTTTACGGAGGTGCGTAGCGTTTGTATTCAAATAAAATAACTCTTTTTCAAATATTCATCCAAATTTAAATTCACATTTTTTAAATTTTTCAAGTTCAGCTTTTAATCTGATTTTTTGTTTTTTTTTATGATTTAAACAACAACCTCAATTAAAAAAAAACAGGAGCGAACGTTAAAGCGCCTGAGAATGGAGGTAAATATCAAGTTCTTTATGTAGAAATGTGAAAGCACTGCACATACATGCCTAGAGGAGAATGAAATGAAGATGTGATAGAATGAAGGGGGAGGAGGATGAGAAGTGTCAGCACGCTCCAATGTTTGTCTACCCACGTGCAAATACGAATGCAAGAGATGTTTTTTTAAAAAGGGTTTCAGTTAGCTCTGTTTTCCGTGCGTTTCTTAATGTGCTTTCAAACTGCTGGTCCGTTGGCTGGTTTGTTTGTTTGTTTGTATGTACGTGGTTTGCCTTGCAGTTTTGTGCCATTTTCAGTTCCTCAACCACGCATTCGTTTAAATTTTCGGCAAGTTTGTGTGCTTGAATGTGAATTGATGTGTATGCATGTGATTGTTGAGTTGTATTTGGTGGTTGTACATTTGCAAAGCAACCACATGTGACGTGTGCGTGTGTGTGTGCGTGTGTGTGTGTTGTTAGAATAACACGGTGGTATGTGCATGTGATGTGGTTGGTTCCTTCAGGACGTGGCTGTTTGAATTAATTTCAAGAGTGTGTACGCTAAGGTTTTTTGTCGTTTGGTCTCTTCAGTAGCGGAAAGCAGGCAGAACCATCCCAACCTCTTGTTATGTTGTACCTGAGGTGACCCCTGAGACTTCTGTACCTAAGTGTAAGTCGAGAGAGGAATCTCAATCGCTGTTCGTATTTCATTTCTCAGCAATTTTTAACCATCTCTTCTGAACAAGTTCCATGTCTTCTATAACCCTAAGTGAACTATACACACGCCGCATATTCTATCTTTGACCTGATTAAAGATTTATAAAGTGTAAGAAAAGAACTTTTAAATAAATTTTTGAAGTGTCTTTTAATTAAGCCTAAAATTTATTTTAGGTGGATGAAGGTAAAGAAACTGATTAAATTTAATTATTTATTGTTGTATAGATATGTTCCTGAAATTTTATATCACATTCGAACAAGACACCTAAATCTTTAACAACATCCAATTTATCCAGAGCAAAACCGTTGATCTTAAAAGAAGTATCAGCAAAGTCATTTGCATGTCAAAAATATTTAGAGATACATATATCAACATTCATTTTCGGCTCCCATTTCACACTCCATTCATACAAATCATCCAAGCAGACTTGTAGAACCATCCCATCCTCATCCCATGGAATTTGTATAAATATCTTAGCATCATCAGCATGCATATTATCTAGCGCTCAACTAATCGGCAAGGTTGAATTCAATCAAATTTAATCATAAGAATTTGTTCAACTCTTAAAGCTTTCTCATTCACTGTCTTGTCTGAGAAGCCGGTTCAATGATTCGTCGAGTCATTGCGTAGGAATTTAAAAAAAAATTTTTAAACAATTTTATATTTTGACATTTTAAAATTAAATTTCAAACCTAGTTTTTAGCTTGAATTTAAAAAACGACTTTTTAAAAAAAGTAATTTAACATTTAACATTCAAATTAACTTTTAAGCTTTCATCACTAACATTATTGAGTTCCTTTTGAAAGATTCAACATAAAAAAACCCTCCTTATTTAATTTTCCAGTCTGAATAATTGAAACAAGCTGGGAGTGCACATTCGACTGATTGTCAGACATTTAACAGCAAAGTTAATTCAGGAATTAGTAGACGAATATACTGAAATAACACCTAAATAACACCTCACTTATATATTTAAACTTATAAAAATTCATGCTGTGATTATTTCCCATTATTTCGATTTCAAATTTATTTCAAAATTATTGATAATTCTAGCATAAAAACTGCGAAAGTTAACGCATCTGACGTTTCAATGTGCTTGGGCAAGCACGAAAAACTGTTGTTCACATTCAACCTAGTAAGTCTGAATGATGTAAAATATGCAGAACACTACCTAAGTAGGTTTCTATGTAAATGCAATTGTGTGTGAGAGTGTTTCGTACTTAAGTGTGTGTGGGTATGTGTGTGTGTCTGTGTGTTTTGTGTGTGTGTATGTACGTTTTTTGAAAGAAAGATATTGTTTATGTTTGTGCGTGTATATTCTAGTGTGTTTTTAGTTTGTGTTTGTATCTGCACGTTTCTGAAGGCATGTGTGTGTATGTTTGTGTGGGTTTGTGTGAGTGTTTATGAGTGTGTACGTGTATGTGTACGCTTGTTTGTATGTGTACGTTTGTTTATGTTTGTTTGTGTGTGTTTGTTTGTCGGGATGTTGATTGATTCGTGTCAACAAAACACTATCTCGTTGGGATTGTTTTTTATTATTTACGATGTGGTTTTTGAGCGTCGTTGTAATGAATCACAAGGAAGAGATATTACTTATTTAGGATTTTATTTTAACATTTTATTATCAATATCTGCTTAACGTAATTAAATGGAATTTTTGGAAAAAATCTAAATAATAAATATGATAAAATATTTTTTCAATGAATTGTATTTCTGGGCATTAATATTCGGCGTTATTATTTGTTTATGGCATGTAGTGGAATGGTACATAAGCCTGTTTGTGTTGTAGATTTGGGCTGTTCATCATATCATAACCCTTCTTGTGTGCATGTTTGCTATCGTAGGTGCAATCAATTATTCCTTTAAATCTTTACACTCCATACATTTGCATGTTTGTGTGTTATGTTGATTGGTGGTTGGCTGTTTGGCAGGTTGGTTGGCTGGTTTGTTGGTTGTTTGGTTGGTTGGTTGAATGGTGGGCTGGTTGGTTGGTTGTTTCAATGCTTGGTTGATTGATTGGTTGGTTGGTTGATTAGTAGGTAGTTTTCATTTGTTTATTTATTTAAGATGCGAATGCGTGTGTTTGTGTGTATTTTTTTGGCAACGAACAGACGTTAAACTGTGTGTGGTTTTAAGTGTTATAACAAATAAACAATAAATTGTGTATTCAGATCAAAATTTTGAAAAAATTCTATTTAGATAATAAAAAAGTCTAAACATATATGACTGATTGAAATCTATCAACCCGTAAAATCAACCACAATGCATTTAACTCTGAAACAACAAAATCCACCAAAGAACATTGTAAGAGAAACAAACTAAAAATACATATACGCAAAGATATACATGTAAGGTATGAAAGATATAACATGCTAAGTGTGTGCAAAGAACAAAATGAATAAGACATCGTCAAATTGTTATATAACAGGCAACTATGCACCGAATGAGAAAATACATCTCAAATTAAAATTTTTATTATAATAATGTATGTTTTTGTGTGTGTTTGTGTGTGTTTATGTGTTTGTGTGTTTATTGTTACATGGCTGTTGAATCATCTCCAAGTTACCTATTATATTTTGTTCGTACTTATTGTTCGTATGTTTATTGTTCGTATGTTTATTGTTCGTATGTTTATTTCCACGAACATACATATGCACAGAGCCAAATTGCTTAATTTTACGGAAAATCTTACTTACAAAGGGACCGTTCATGTCAGGCTTCAAGGGGGGTTCCACTTGTGACACTTTATGACGAGGGGTTATCCCTTTTTTTAAATAAACAAAACAATTAATAAATTTTCTTTCATATATATATATATATATATATATATATATACGTATATATATATATATATATATATATATATATGCGCCAAATGAATATTAAAGTTTTCAAGCGAGCAGCAAATAGCTCATGAATATTAATTAAAGGAGGAGTCAAATTTAAATGCCATCGTTAAAGTTTACCGCTGTGTACGTGTTAAAATTGTTAATATTAGTTAATATTGATTCGTTATATTTTAACAGCTACGGTAAAGCAATTAGATCTCGACCTACCATCATATGAACTTGTCGTTCGTTATTTTGATATCAATGAAAAATAAAATGCATAGAACAATTACATTGTTTAATGATTCTTCTCTAAGAGGGGTAAAGGGGTAAAGTTTGTGACAAGCTTATTTTTGGGTGGTTGGTCGATTTGTGACAGTTTGTGACACAACGGAGAGGGGGGCAAAAAAACGTTAATAAAACGTGACATCCTTTATAGACAGCCTCCTTAATCATTGACTAGTCAATTTAATTAACTAATTAATTAATCTATTTATTCGTTTTCATAAATCATTAATTCTGCGTCTATCAGATTCTGAATTTTTAAAGAATAATAATAAAAAAAGAATCTATCCAACGAGAGTACAGCATGCTGCCATTCCAATTGACTTTGCTTCAGGCAGAATTCTGAGCGACTTTTTTATGCTTGTGTTATTCAACATTTGATGGACACTTCCGTGTAATCTTTTTTTTATCTCTCCTGAGAATTATTTGTTTGTTCGTATGCACTTGTTGCTGGTGTTTCTGTTCTAGGTTTTTTTTTGCGCTGGGCTGTGGCTAAATGCTGTTAACCAGTCGAATGAGATTTAACTTTTGTTTCAACTAAATTGAACTTAATGCAACTCAAAGAATTATTTCGATCTTGAAATCTAATTTGTGAAACCATTTCTCAGGATTCATCTTCCATACATCAATCACTTGTAACATAACTTAAGTTTTAACAATATCTTTTTGTTGAAGAATTTATTTTTTTATCACTAACTCACAACGATATCAAATTTTAAACACATTTAATCCTGCAGACCAAATAAACATTGACATAACTCGTACATGCATTCGTCCGTCTTTTTTACTTTCAGATCTAACATACCTTCAATATTGCATAAAAGTATTGTTCAATTCAAAAGCTACTGAT